ACACACACACACACACACACACACACACACAGAGCGTTGGCGTACATTGAGCTAGCCAGACTTTCCTCCTTGAAGTGGCAAAAACTACTATTTTGGCATAATACGACCGATACGACTCCCGAGCCTGAAAAACAATCGCGTTTGATTTTGATGGTGGCAACTGAATTAAGTCGAATTCGGTCGAATCGTAGTGTCATCGTTGCAGCGTTTGCCCCTCCGTGGAGAAAAATCCGCCCGGCCCCGACTCAATCAAATGAATCCGATTGGCAGAGGGCGATCAGTGTTAGGTTTTAGTTTCTATGAAAACCCCCAGTGGACTGCAGACGTACCAATAGCATCGAACAACACATTTTCAAGAATGATTGACAGCTGAGTAGAAAGAAACACTTTGATTACCCCCCCCGACAATCCATTTAGTGCTGTAAAAAAGCAACAAACAAACAACAAATAAACAAAAAAGACCCAAAAAAGTCAGACAGACCGAAAGAACAGAGGAAAAGAGTAGAGACCTATCAATGGGGCCATCTTACCACTAGCATAAAGAAAGTATTTTAAAAAATGAACCACACACAGACAAGAAACGTAAGACACAAACCCTCTGAAAACTAACAAAAAGTCTCTCATACTCTGGACGTCGTAGTTAGTAAAAATGGAATGAGGTCAGTGGAACCGAGATTACCTCTGGACACAGAAGAGTGGGATCCGAGGTGGAGCCATACGGACTTTCCCCGATAGGCAGTGTCCATGTTTGCGTGGTGCTATCGCTGCGTTCTAGCCGGGGAGATGGCTAGGAATTAGCCCAGCTCATCGCTTGACAGGGTTACGCGATCCATCGCAGACCGATACAGACAGAACAAAGACCAATAAAGCTTTGCATCGAAGAATAAAATGCGTAAATTGTCCAAGGGCTGTCAATTCTGGGATTGTTATTGCCATGGCATAACCACTTTGAAATATTCGGACCTTAGCGTTACGATTTTGTGTTTGAATTGGGGAGAGCCTGTCAACCTGTCATAGACCCTTTCACATAACGAGATATTAGCAAACACAACGAATTATGTTGCTTTATTCATATTGCTTTATCATGAGAATGGGAAAACGGTCTTTAGCAGGTATCACCGCCCGTTAAGTACAGTGGAACCTGCTCTAACGGCCACCTGCCCAACACACTCACCTATATAAACTACCTAGGTAATATCATGAGCGTGCGGCAAATAAACGAATCTATAAACAGGTTGTAGACACTGAGTGCTGTCTTCCTCATAGCTCTAAATGAAATGTTCTTCTGCCATTAGCACGCTGTTTCACGTGTATCTGTAATACTTTTCATCGAATATATCTTCCGCAGTTCCGCAACTCCCTCATCTCTCTCTCTCTCTCTCTCTCTCTCTCTCTCTCTCTCTCTCTCTCTCTCTCTCTCTCTCTCTCTCTCTCTCTCTTTGTCT